AGCTGCGGGCGCCCGCAGCTAGCCACGCGAAACTGCTTAAGTGTAGCTAACCCTACAGACTGTGATGCCGTTACTAGCCAGCAGGAAAGCAGCAGCAAGAGTTGCAAGTTTCTGCAAAGGCAGCAAGATGACTGCGGGAACTGCTCAAGAAAAATGAGAAACTAAGTTTGCTTGAAGATACAAACAAAAATGAAAAGATATGTTCAACACTGCTCTTCAACAAACGCACTTTCCTCTTTGCAGAGGGAACTTCAGAATAGGTTTTGTGTTTTCAACATCAACTTGAACACGTAGGCTAATTCAGCATTCTGCTGCTGTTGCTGTTGCTGCTGCTGCTGCAGCAGACCCGTGAGACAGCGGTTGGTGGAGAGTCTTTCCTGGTGACCCAAGCTGCTACGCAGCTGCAAAGCTACAATAGATCTGGCAGGCCTCCTTTTACAGCTGACGCAGCTGCTGCTGCCGCTGCTGCTGCTGCACCCTGCTGCGCTTCGGGCTGCTGCTGCGCGTCTTCTGGCGCAGCAGCAGGCTCAAGCACGGGCGTTGGGGGGCCGCTGTCACCGTCGAGTTTGAAGAACTGCAGGGCTCCCTCTTTTCCTGCTGCTGCTGCTGCTGATGGAGTGGGTGCAGCAGCGAAGCTGCCTGCTGTTGCTGCTCTCGCGGGCCCTGTGGCCGCTGGAAATGAATGGCCAAGGTCACCTGCTTCCCGCTTCTCTTCTGCTTCTGTTGAGGAAATGCTGAGTGCACAGTTTGCTGCTGGTTTTGCTGGTTCCGTCAAAGCAGGAGCACCCTCAGACCGGGAATATGACCTTTCATCCTCTGAAGAGCAGCAAGCAGCAGCAGCACCAAAACAACAGTACGCACCCTACGAGGCGAACCCGAAGCCACAATGGCAGTTCTGTCCTTTTGAAATACAGTGCCACTGCTGCATCAACGGCAGCAGCTGCAGCAGCAACTTCAGCAGTTATCATAGCAGCAGCAGCGCAGCAGCTGCAGCAGCTGCGATGAATCAAGGCAGCAACTCACGGAGCTTGTGAAGGTATGGGGTAGCTTCCTGCTGCACCTGCGAGTACACCGCAGCAATCTCCCGCAGCGCAGCGCGAGCTGCCTGCTCTGCCTCGTGCTTCTGCATGGCGTCTGCTGCAGCAGCAGCAGCAGCAGCAGCGCCTGGTGACCCCTCGCTCTGGTGCTGCTGCTGCTTGTGCCGCAGCATCAGTTGCTGCTGCTGCAGCGCGTCCTGCAGCGTGTCTGCATGCACCTGCAAGAATGACTGGGACTCTGCAAAGGCCGTATCCAGCCGCTGCAGACCTTTAAGAAATTGTCTGTGCAGCAGATGCAGCTGCTGCTGCTGTTCCTCTTGCTGCAGCTCCAGCTCGGCCTCGTCCAGTCCCTCGGCAGCTCCTTGCTGCTGCTGCTGCTGCTGCAGCACGTCGAGGCTCCGCATGCACTGCCGCAGCGCTGCTGCCTGCTGCTGCACGCGGTTCTTCTCAAATGCAAAGTGACGGCAAACCAAAGTCTGCAGAGAGTCTGTACACCCCAGAGCCACCAGGAAGCAGCAGCAGCAGCAGCATTGACAACAGCAGAAGCGGCAGCAACAGCAGCACTGACAGCAGTAGCAGCAGCTGCTCTTGCTGCAGCAGCCTCTTAATGCCCGTCTCGTCAACGTATAGTACTGCGTTTGTTGCCCGCCCATACAGCTGGCTAGCCAGCAGCAGCCGCATCAGCAGCAGCAGTAGCAACAACAACAGCAGCAGCAGCTTACTTTCGAGCTCCTTTGCGTCGGCGTCTGCAACTGCAGCAGAGACTTCTGTTGCTTCGCCGTGTGCTGCTGCTGCGTCCAGTGCAGCCTGCTGAAACAGCACGAGGCTGTCTTTGGCCATCTTCCACTGCTGCTGCTGCTGCTGCTGCCTCCTCTCTAGCTTCCTGCTGCTGCTC